AACACAAGCTAAATGTTCATAACACAAGCTAAAATGAGCAGAACACAAGCTAAAGTGTTCATAACAAGCTAAAATGAGCAGAACACAAGCTAAATGTTCATAACACAAGCTAAAGTGTTCACAACACAAGCTAAAATGTTCATAACACAAGCTAAAATGAGCAGAACACAAGATAAAATGAGCAGAACACAAGCTAAATGTTCATAACACAAGCTAAAGTGTTCAGAACACAAGCTAAAATGAGCAGAACACAAGCTAAAATGAGCAGAACACAAGCTAAAATGAGCAGAACAATGGCAAAAAGCTAAAACCAGTTAACTGGTATCTAAAAGATAAGTGAACAAAACAGTAACTAAAAGCTAAATCCAGCAAAACATTGTTAATACAGTAATTAAATGCTAAAGCTAAATAGTATCATAACTAAAATGAGCAAAATGGTACCTAATGGTTAAAATCCAAAAAAATCAACTTTTTTCAAACTTTATTAACAATTAAAATAAAACAACTACACTTGATGTAAAGTCTACATTATTTATACATACATGTTTCCACCGATTACACGAGTTAAAAGGTTAGTAAGATGACATGTAACAATATGACACTTCAGTACTAAGTAAAAAATAATTAATGAAATATTTAAACAAAGATCCAGTGTTTACATTAAATATACAGTACATGGTAAAATATGCAAATTTGGTCTTAGTTTTTAAATTAAGTAAAGAGAAATCAGAAAAACAATCACTAATATTCTAAAAGCAGTAAATTAAGGCTAAATGGTCCATAAGAAACTATTTTCATAAAAACTAGAGCAGCCATGCTGAATCAAGTACTTCAGTCGGGAACAATTTTGTAAATAGAAAAAGTGTTTTGAATAATATAAATGTTATAAATACTAAAAGTCATAGTACAGTCATACTAATCAAGATAAACCTTTGCAAAATTGTGAACAGAAAATATTTTTTGTTTTTTGGTAAAAATGTGTTGAAATAAATGCAGAAAGACCAAATCAGTAAAGATTCAGACAAGATGTTCTAAAGTTCTTCCGTTTCCCCTCCTGCAGACGTTACATGAAGCATAAACGGGACGACGGCGCGGAGAAGCAGGACGAGGAGACGGTGGACGTCACCCCCATCATGATCTGCGTGTTCGTGTTCATGTGCTGCAACATGCTGGTGCTCCTTTACTTTTTCTACGACCACCTGGGTACGACACACACACTTCCAAAGCCGAAGTAATGCTGTATTCCTGTTGCTGCCGAACTGATGTCAACGCTGAGCTGACAGCGTTTCGATTTCCAGCTTGTGATGACATCGGGAAAAAAAAACATTTCTATTTCCTGCTTCTGACGGAATAAAACAATAACACTTAGAACGATAGTGCTAAGTGTTGAGTGTGCAAACCGTATTAAAACAGAACTGCATCTCCATCACACACTCTGACCACTAACAGCTCAAACAAGTTCTGTATTTAAACGTTTAAGCTTGCAAATCTGCACAAGTACGCTTTGATAGCACCTCCATTTAGCTCAGGTGTCAACTTGGGCGTTCTCCAAGCCACGGCGGAAACTTTCACCTCGTTTTCCTCCAGCAGACAGACTCATTTCAAAGCATTACAGGAAAAAAAAACAGCCGAAATGCACAGATCCAAGTTTCACCCAGCTCACCGAACACTAACCCACACATCGCTGAAAGCAATACTCCTTTTTAAATATTTAAGAAGTATTACCAGCATACAACGTGCTTTTATTCCTCAGTCCAAACTTATGAAACCTCACATCAGAATATGGTGATCTGCTCACATTTACCGTTTTCTCACTCTTCAGCCATTTGGGTGATCGGGGTCTTCTGTTTGGCCTCCTCCGTCGGCCTCTACAGCTGCCTGTGGCCTTTCGTCAGGAGAATACCCTTCTGCAAGTGCAGGTAACACATTTTCTGTCTCTGTGGGGACGCGCAACGAATACAAGCGGTCTGGTTTTTGTAGCTAATTGACGTCTCAATTCAGGGGCTGCAGTCCACGTAGGTCACCAGTGCCGGCTGCTTAAACGTCTGTGAAATAAGACGGTCCAGTCTACGGATGACGTATGTTTGCGTGACCACAAACACAATTTAGTGTTATTAAAAAAAACATTACATGTAAATAAATAAATAAAAAAACCAAATAATTTGGGTTTAGCTCCAGTAATCAGTGCTTGTGGTTGCATTTTATTTAACATCTCATTGCAGCATGAATTTCATCAGCTAAACTGCTAAACATCCATTTAAAAACATCTCAGTTTCGTGACGAGTCTTCTGTTCAGTTCGATGGTGCAATGAATTCTGGGATACCGTCGGCCGTGTAGGATATTCATATGCACAGGGTTCCCATGGGTCCTTGAAATCCTTGAAAGTTTGTGAATTTGAAAAAAATAATAATTTCAAGGTCCTGGAAAGTTTGTGAAAACAGCCAAAAATTACACTCTTCCTTGAAAGTACTTGAATGTTTTTTTGGGATTGAAGTTCTCCATTAAAACAACTGATTTTCATCATCTGTAAAAAAAAAAAAAAAAAAACTTACATTTGTTGCAGTGGATAACAGGATTACGGTCAACTGATGTGGCTTTCAACAAATAACATGAGTTATATAGTGACACAGTCATAGTTTTAGCCAATCAGAACAGAATAGGGCGGGCTGTTCTTTCTGAGCCCAGGTAAGAGCACCACAGTTCCTGTCCTCACTGAGGGTCTGGACATGTTCACATCCCCTCCTCCCAAACTGAGCTGCAGAACCTCCCAGGACATAATTACATGTTCTTGTATTGTGGATATGAATGTAGGGTAAACATTTAATCCACTTTCTTTCATTGATTCTGACAGAACAACTTCTATTGTTCAGTTTTTCACTGAATTTACATGATATTAAACCTGTTTATTGGTAACATTCTGGGGTAACAGTAGGTAAGTGCCATCACGCATGGTTCTTGAATTAGAGGAAATTGGTACTGGAAAGTCCTTGAAAGATCCTTGAATTTGATGATGACCAAGGTGTGGGAACCCCGTATGCAGCCTACGATTTGTCGGCCGCATTCGTCGGCGCCTATGATTTGGGACAGCCTACGGCGCGTCGCAGTGGCGTAAGCGGCCGACAAAGGCTCCCTACGTGGGCCGCAGAGCCTGAATGGAGACATAGTCATAACGGCAGAGTTGACGGTTAGAAGCATCCGCAGACCGACACGTGAACGTTTCTTTTCTTCCACAACAGGATCCCGGAGAACAACCTGCCGTACCTGCACAAGCGGCCGCAGATCCGCATGCTGCTGCTGTCGGCGCTCTGCGTCGGCGTCAGCGTCATCTGGATGGTTTTTCGCAACGAAGACCAGTGAGTCCAGGGTTCCTCTGCAGACACGGGCAGCTTTGTTGGAGATGATGCGCCCCGTCCCGTGTGCCTGATGGTGGTATCTGCTGACAAATGTTGTTGTGTGCTGTCCAGGTGGGCGTGGGTGTTACAGGACGCCCTGGGGATCGCCTTCTGCCTCTACATGCTGAAGACAGTCAGGCTGTCCACGTTCAAGGTGCCGATGGATATAATCGAGTTTTGGAAATGTTTACTTGATCAACAAGTTGTAACTGATGTTTCTGTTTCTGTTCCTGTAGGCTTGCACTTTACTTCTGTCAGTTCTGTTTGTTTATGATGTTTTCTTCGTATTTATTACTCCCTTCTTTACGAAGGTAGGATCTGTTTTCACTCGGGCCGTTCAAGTAATTAGTGTCAATTTGTTATACTTGTGTTACTCATGTTTTCTTGTTTGTTTGTTTTTTTAGAGTGGGGAAAGTATAATGGTGGAGGTAGCGGCAGGCCCCTCCGACTCTGCCGTTCATGAAAAGGTGAGCCCATCAAATCTGGTTCCCCCTGAGTCCAGTTCTTCCTCTCAGATGTGGGGGAAACAGCTGAGTGACTCTGATGTTTGTGTTTCTTCAGCTCCCCATGGTGCTCAAAGTGCCCAGGTTAAACTTCTCTCCTCTGGCTCTGTGCGACCGGCCCTTCTCCCTCCTGGGCTTTGGGGATATCTTAGTACCAGGTGAGCCGTTTTGTGCTTTAAACTCGTTTATAAATAAGATTCTTTGAACAAATACTAATTGGTGCGATCTATCAGCCTTTGGAGTATGTGTTGGAGATGGTTACTTTCTTTCCTAGGTCTGCTGGTGGTGTATTGTCACAGATTTGATATTTTAACACAATCCTCCAGAATCTACTTCGTGGCCTGCACGATCGGTAAGAAACTGTGTTTAACGGGGGGGTGAGAGGGTTGTAAATGTAAATGATGCTGCAGAATTTACTCAAACTCCAGTTTGGCCTTGTTAACATCTGGGCTTAAAAGTGAGTCTCCACGCATGTCGAGCGGTCTAATCTAATCTGCCAGTAACTGTGTTCCCATTGCAAATGTGCGCAAAATTTTGTCGATATTTTGTTAATGTCGAAAAAACACAGTTTCGCAATTGCGGTGTTTCTATTAAGTAAGAAATGCTATTAAAGTCAGGCGTGAACACGTTTGTTCTTGTGATAAGTCATTACAAACGTGGCGGCAATGGATGTAAACACATAGCATGTTGCTACCACGACACTAGCGCTCATCATCAGAGACGTCGGCGTCTTTTCAAGGCTTTCGGGCGACAAGCCCCTTATACTTGGGAGTGGCTACGTGTGCTGCGTTTTTGGGAAATTGTAGTCGGTGAGTTTACTACTTTCTTTTACAACTTCGGTGATTTTACTACTACTACTATTTCTACTTCCTGTTATCTTCTTTGTCGTCTTTTTCACCAGTAGAAACAGACGGTTCTTGATCACGTGACTCCCGTGATGTGAAAAAAGCGTTTCCATTGCAGTTTTGTGAAACACACCAATTTTGATATGGCCAAAAAACCCACCTTATCCTAGCGCAAAACAATTTTGTCAAAAAAACGTTTTATTTTTTAAATTGACGTGTTTCCATTGAGCAAATTTATTTTCGAAATTCCAATTTGTGCATTTTCATGGTCAATGGAAACACAGCTATTGCCTCATTATGAGCAACAAGAACTCCTCCCAGTCACTCCTTGTTAACATTCACTCTGCTACAAGTCAAATTACGGTTTTGATGAAATAAAATATGCGGCGCTTGGCTGCAGACTTTCTGGGCGCAGCCTATGTAGTGTCACTGATGCTGAAGAATAAACAAATGACACAGTAGATGCACTTAGCCTGTGTCAATAGTTGATGCTTTTCTAATTGACTAATTGAGTCATGTTGCATTTTATCCCACGTTTACTTCATTGAGGTACGGAGCAGATGTACTTACACAAAACACATGATGTCAGGTGAACGAGGGAACCATTTAAAAAGGTCTGAATATGAGAAAAACAGGCTTTCTTGCGGAAAAGATTTGTATCAATCTTTTATTTTCTTCTGGTTCAGTTTTTTTTCCTTCAAGTAAATCACATTGTTTACACATCCCCACCTCTCTGTTTCCTTCCCCACTCTCTCCCCCCTCAGCGTACGGGATCGGCCTGCTGATCACCTTCGTGGCCCTGGCCTTGATGCAGAAGGGCCAGCCGGCCTTGCTCTACCTCGTGCCTTGCACTCTGCTCACCAGCCTCTCCGTAGCGCTGTGGCGCAAGGAGTTGCCCCAGTTCTGGACTGGAAGTGGATTTGTGGTGAATACCAGTTTGATATGACTGCCTACCGCTGAAGAACAGAAAGACTTTTTAAATTTTTTTTTAGCAACAACAGACAATAAAATCAATCTAGCATCAATTAAAAACAAGCAGTCAAGTAAAAATTTCAAGTTGAGTCTTTACTCAACTTGAAATTTTTACTTTATACTACTTTTATACTACTTTATACTAATTTTACTTTATATAATTCCCTCCATTCCAACTGCCTGTTTCTGTTTTACTGTTTCACCCCGCTGCCCCCCACCCCCCCTCGCTTCTCCTTATTTTACTCTGGCTGTGCTGTAGTCTGCTGCTGAGGGCTCAGCTGGCTCTGAATATCACTGCAGGTATAACCGGGCTTACACTCCATTAAAAACACCCTGATCTCACCTCAGTGTCCTTTCTGTTGTAATTTTCCTCAAAAAAAATACAACCGTCTCATTCTTGGGTTATTGATAGTTTGGTGATCTTAATCGAACTCACGCCCATTAGTGGGGTTTCCTGTAAATAACCTTTTTCTTCTGACTTGCTGATCTCTGTGTACAGCAGTTCCTCTGCACGTACAACTGTGAGAGGAATTACTGTAAAAGTTTGATTCTTTATACAACCCCAGTTTTGAAAAAGCTGAGACATTGTGTGAAATGCAAATCTGATGAATCCAGATTTTATTCACAATGGAACCTACTTAAAAGCTTTAATATGTTTAGTACTTTTTAAAGTAGCAACAAGTCTCTTTTTAGTCGGTGAGACCTGAACTTCAGTACTCAAGTTATGCTGTAGCAGTGGATGCAGTATGAGGTTTAGCACCGTCTTGTTGAAAATATGTTCTAAAATGTAAATATATAATAGTGCTTTTCCAATTGTGTAAGCTGCTCGGGCCATTGGCACTAATGCACCCCCACACCATCAGAGAGGTGATGACATAGATTGTCCTCTTTAGTGTAGAGGACATGTTTTGTGGTTTCCACTTCGTCTCAGTCCATCTTAAATGAGCTTTGAACCTGAGAAGATGGTGTTCACGTTTGGATGTTTGGATGATAGAGCTTTAAATAGTGTTTGTGGACAACATGATTACTTGTTAGTACGAACTGTAGAATATTCAAAGTTTTCCCAGTTTTCAACATTATTCTGAAATCGATCTATAATTGTATTTACAATAAAAAATACGTTTACTGGGGTGCAACAATACATCCGTATCGAACTGTTCAATACAGTGCTTTAGGTTCAATAAACACTTGTATGGAACAATACAGATTTTTAAAATTTATTTTATCAGCTTGTGAAGATGCTGTGTTGAAGGATCAGTGGATCTGTGTTCGACTACTCCACCTAGGCTGCATTGTTGAGCGCAGATCCACTGAGAAACTTGCTGTTTCAGCAACATTTAATTTGAAAACTATATTTTGAGGTTAAACAAATGTTCATAATTAATTTCAATAAATTACAAGTTAAAAGGGGCATGGACATTTCTCTTTTGTTGTATCAAAAAAATATCGAACCGTGAGACTAAAGTATCGAACCGAATCGTGAATTTTCTGTATCGTTGCACCCCTAATGTTTACTATGTTCTATTGTGAATAAAATATAGCTTTATGGGAGTTGCAAATCCTGGCTTTCAGGTTTTAATCCCGTTTTTACCTAACGTCCTAACTTTTTCTGAGTTCGGGTTGTTTGTTTTTGTCCAGCTCCTTCTGTTTGTCAGCTCTGTTACATTTCCAGTCGAATCGCCGTTCAGCCCTTTCAAATACCTTTTACTTTCTGCCTCCTGCAGCCTCCCATAGTGCTCGCGCCGATCAACTGTACGCAAACTGCAGAGCCGCCGCCGCCGCAGGAGCCCTCAGCCGAACAAAGCGCAGAACCCACCGATCAGAGCGAAGATGTGTCCGAGCAGCCGCCGCCTCAAGAAACGCCCCCGGAGGAGACAACCGAAGACAAAACCGACTACTAGTAAACCCCCCTCCCACCACTTCACTTCATGTTTTAATTCATTTCTCTGCAGCACGTCTCAGTCAGTGGACGTTTTAAATCTGAAACGTCTCGTTTGCACTTGTTGCGAAGGGAAGAGCAGCGCAGGTGTCTTTATTGAACACCTGATTAAAGTCAAACGTGCCAAGTTTTAAAGGGGACGTCCCGCTAAATCCACTCGTTTGGATTTAAAGGGACAGCGTCAAAACGAGCCGCTTTCACACACGTCAAAAAAAGGTGTGAAAGAGGGGTTCTGCTGAAGCGTAAATCTGTATCTGTGTTTGATCACTCTGGCTGGCTTTCTCATGGACCCGGATGTGTGGCGCAAAAATCTGGATTCTAGAGTCGAGAGTGAAAGTAGTCAAACTGAATTTTTAATCTAACAAAATGCACTTTCAAAGCAAATTAATTCAAATTCTAAACTTTAAGTTTCATTTTACTGAAATTCATTTTCAAACTGATACATTCAATTTCAAATTTTGCACATTCAGACTCAATCTGAGCAATTCAAATTCAGTTTCTCCTGGCACAAAATTTATCCCATAGAGGGGCTTGTGGAGTTACAATGAGGAGGAACTCAAACCAAAGCACTTCAGTTCCACATCGTATAGACCCCCAACTGAAAGATTTAAACTCAATTTAGTTAATTGACATTTAATTAAATGTGAAAATGAAGGATTTAAAAGCATGGTGTGTCTACTTTAAAGCAAACTCACCACCTTGTACTAACATACCATCAGTGGTGGGCACCAGCCCGCTAAAGCGCAAATCCACTAATTGCGGACCTAAATATTTCATTTGCGCTTTAGTGGTTTTACTAATTTTTTTAATTCATAAGCGGATTTGGGCTTTCTAAAATTAAAATGCTGTACCGCTAATAACTAATTATCTACCAGTTATCATTATCTTGAACAGCAGAAGGTATGGTTGTCAATTAATCACAACACACGTGATCTGTCCAACAGCACCCCTCCCAGTTAAATACACTTATTGAGAAGGTATACATCCTCGCTGACTGTTGCTTTGGTCACGGTTCTGATTTCCCACAATGCTTTGTGTCTGCTTACGTAGCAGGAAGGCAATAGCAAAAACAGTTAACGTTTGTAATACATACTAAACTTTTGTATGTATTGATTTATTTTACTTTACAATCGGAGCTCCTTTTTTAAAAAAAATAAAGTTTAAACGCTGGAGCTCAATACTTGACGTAATTGGTCGAAGCAACGGGGTTAGAGATGCAGAAATGATTTATTCAAGATGTTATGCTGGTGAAGACAGACAACTAGTGGTCAACTGGGGCAACTACATGGAAAACTTTAATATCCAAGCTCTTATTTTGAAGGGAAGATAAGTTTCCTGTACTCCGTGCTTTCCCGTCACAAATCAAATCCGTCATGTACCCAGAATGCATTGCTTCAGTTTTTAAATAAACAGTTTTACAATTACTTTATTGATTCTTCTTTAATGAAAAATCTACAACAAACAAAAGAAAAAACGACAAAGCAGCCGAACTAGCAATCCTCAACAACTTTTTAATTTTTACACCAGGAGCCAAAGTTCTGTTTCAGGAAATCACATCCTCAGCAATCAGTGGTTGTAGGATTAAGTTGTTAGAGTTCATACACCACTAGTTGGCAGAGTTGTGCATATATTGTACATGAATTGTTGCCAGTTAATAAGTGTCAAATTGAACCTGCGCTTTAAAATTAGCTTCTGCTAGTTTTTCTATGGCATAATCAGTTTTGAAGTTGCGGACCTAAATATTTTCATAAGCGCTTTAGAAATTGCGGAGCTAATTTTTGGATTAGCGCTGCCCACCACTGCATACCGTTTACACCATCTGTAAGACTGAAGGTACACATGGCTGGTGCTGAAACAGGAACTTGTTTCCACACTCAAATATTAACACTAAAGGCCCAGATGATTGTACCAGCAAATTCACAGTGAATTTCAAAGTTGCTGTGATTTACGGATTCATGAAATTTGTGCTGCTGTGGTATTTAACGCCCTCTGATGGAGGCATCTGAAAATAAAACTGAATATTTGGTGGTTTATCGTCCCTGTGATGGACCTGTGACCTGTCCAGGGTGAGAATAACGGACGGACGGACGGATGCTTTCTCAGACGAATAGTTGGTGTCTTCTTAAAATTAGTGTAAAGAAGAGTTTGGGTGATTCGCAGCTTGGTGGATGTCGTAAACAAGAGCTAAAGATTTCTCCACGTCTCTGACAAACAAGCTAAAAGCATAAACAGGAAAGTTATAAATCCACTTTGAATGTCTTTGGGCTGTTTGTGATTGGCTCTCCTGCTTCTGCAGCGTGAACTTGACACTAAATATGAATGACATTACACCTTAACTGACATTTTCTTTTTATTTTAATTGTCAAACTTTGTTATTAGAACCTTAACAGCAGCACTGATGAGTTGAATCCCCTTTAAAATCTGATGCTGTCATGGCTGCTGACTGAGCCCAAAGCTACAAAACTTTATTTTATTTTTTCCTATTAAACACTTTTGTTCCGCTTTGTTTTGCATGCTGTGGTTTTGAGTTGTTAACCTGATTTTTCCTATAAAACCAGTGTATGATGAGCTAAAAAGCCCGATTCACGACGCGGTGAAAGTCAACTCATGACGGTTTCTCTATAAACACTAATAATTGTCTTAAGCGTTGTTTTTATTTGGCCTTACTGTGTTTGCATTGGGAGTTGTTGTAGAATGTGGTCACGTGTTTAAAAAGAAAACATGCTTTATGAAAACCAACAGTACTGTACTGAAAATGTGCTGCAGTTTAATGAGGAGCGAGTTTTGTTACAGATGTTGTTAGTTTGTACAAGGCATTTGCACACTTTTTATGTTTATTCCATGACGTTATTTAGTCATGAATTTTGGTGTTTATCTAATATTGCAAGGATTTTAGCAGGTGGAAACTAATGTAATAATCCAATAATTCAGTATTCTGTCATTCTGCAAGCCAAATTCTGACCCGAGGACAGGTTTCGCTCCAGAACCCGGTGGTCGGTGGAGACATACTTTGTCTTCTGGGCGATTTTGGAACCAGGCTAAGCATCTTTTTGTGTACGAGACGTTAAAAACACGAACGCGTAATTGGCAGCTGAAATGTCTGAATGTGTTCCCTCGCTGATTTGTGATCAGGATGATTCATCTTTTTAAGTTTGTCACCGGTTTTTAATGCCTCTGAGGATTACATATAATAAAGAAACAATGTATTTGACATCCTGTTTGTTGTTTTTTTTTTTTGAAACCACACTTAAGTTTAATCCTGAAAAGAGGATTTGAATGGATGGAAGCCAGACCTCATCCAGCCCCTCGTAATGGTTTGAGTCTTAAGACAGGAATGTGACAATGAGCCCCTTGTGGCTCCAGCTCACCTAAAAGGGACCGAGTTTCTGTGATCTGATCAACCGACACAGACCGCTGCAGAGTTCTGCTTCACGCCATTCAGCTCCACTTCCAACACGTTTAGAGAGCGATGGCAGTAGTTTCCAGTGGTGAAGTAACCGTAAAATATCAGGTTTGCTTCTTAGATCCACACATGTACGTACATCTAAGTGGAAGGTAAAGAAAAGCTCCTTGCTGAGCTTTTATAAAGTATAAAAGTTATTTTTTGAAGCTGCTGGTTAAACCTTGTTTTGGTCACAAAACAAAAGGTCAGCAAACCTTTTTATCTACATGGGCCCCATTTCAGAAAGCATTAACTAATTAATTATTATTAATTAATAAACAATTAATTAAGCCTGGGTTAACGCAGATAATCTGAATCAACTCATCCCGCTCTGTGATACTCAGGATTTTCAGTTTCAGAACAGGTGATTGCAACTGGGTAACTTAATCCTGAATCAAGTTACCCTGAGTTCAGTTGGAGCAGAAAGCCCTCATCAATGGAAGTCAGATAATGTGATTCATCATGACAGCAGGAGAAAATAAGAAGACAGGAAGTCCATTTCTTGCATTGAAACTAGAAATGTTGTGGAGAATATCAACGTATATTTAAAAAAATTAAATAAAAAAGCAATACTGTTGCTGCTGCAAGAGAAAGAGACTTTGTGTGGCAGAGAATTGATCAAGTCAATGATTATAATTTTACATGAATCTAAACTTTTATTCTTTATTTTTACTTTTATTCTTTATTCAAGTGGATAAAAGTGTGTGTGTGTGTGTGTGTGTGTGTGTGTGTGTGTG